TTCTGCCAGAACTCTGTTAAATGTTGGTACCTTTTTATTCAGCAAAAACTACTTTTAGAGACTTATGCTATGTACAATACCCAAGATTCATACAGATATTCATTGTAGCATTCTTTAAACAACAACAATAATAAATAATGCCAATTTTCAAAATAGAGACTGGCTAAATAATTATGGTGCAGCTCTCTGATATAATAATAGAATGCCAAAAATATTTATGTTAATAAGTACATACACACATGCATAATTGTGTGAAAAAGTCAGGCTACCAAACAGATTCATCTCTATACCTATACCTATACCTATACCTATACCTATACCTATACTATACCTATACCTATACCTATACCTATACTATACCTATACCTATACCTATACCTATACCTATACTATACCTATACCTATACCTATACCTATACCTATACCTATACCTATACCTATACCTATACCTATACTATACCTATACCTATACCTATACCTATACTATACCTATACCTATACCTATACCTATACCTATACCTATACCTATACCTATACCTATACCTCTTTCTTTCTTTCTTTCTATCTATCTATCTATCTATCTATCTATCTATCTATCTATTTATCATCTATCTATCATCTATCTATCTGCACAGATAAAGAAAAAGAGAAAAAGATAAATGATGCTTTTAGTAGTTAATTCCTGCTAGTGGATGAAGGATTTTTTTTTCTTTATGCCTTTTAAAGTTTTCTACATGGTTTTCATTTATAATCAGTAAGTTTTAAAATAGGAATGGAAACTCTTCACATGTGATGGAATGCTTCGTATGCCAGAAAAAAGTATTTTCTGGTTTAACTCACAGTTAGAATAATGATTTCTTCTACCTACAACTATTTTTATGCAGTTTTGCTAGAATTACTTATATTCTTATCTGACTCTTCTATCATATTATGGGCATCTTGGAGCAGAGAAAGCCCTAAATTTTCCTGTGTCCTGCACTCACAGTGCAGCTTTGGGAGAGCTGCAGTATGTGTTTACGGACAGCTTTATACTGAACTGAATTCAGAGAAGCTTAATTAAAACTTATTTGATAAGGGACTCATTTCCAGACCCATAAAAATACAAGTAACAGAAAGAATTATGAGGTGCATTTATAAAGCCAGGAGACACACAGAAGATTCTTAAGATGCAAATGGATGGTGAATTATTTATATCATATTCTTGTCACAGAATTGTTCATTTCAAATATGTTTACTAAGAGGATTGGGTGAATGTTAAGTACTTAGCTGAGGTTTCTAAACGTTCGGACTAAGCTACTAAAAAATCACATCAGTACTGGAAGAGATAAAAGAAAATAGCCTATTGTACTTCAGTGGAATTGGAAAGTCTATGGACCAGGCAGAATCTGTAATTAGTGACTGTTCCAAGTGTTGAGCAGAGAGAGGTGTTCTAGGAATATGGCTCTCTTTCAGAGAAGACTGAAAGCAAAAATGGGATGAATGAGTGAAGGTGAAGCATGAAAGAGTTCAGGAGAGCCTGAATGTTAGATGATAATCAATAACATGATGTCATAATAAAATAGCAGGAAAGTGGTACAATTAAGATATGCCAGAAGAATCTGGAGGTAGAAGTTTACATAAAGGGGGGACAAATGGTGATGGAAGGAGACTTCCCTGGGGGAGGTGAACGCACAATACAATATACACAATACAAAATATAGATGATGTATTGTAGAACTGTACACCTGAAACCGATATAATTTTATTAACCAATATCACCCCAATAAATTCAATAAAAAAAGAAAGAAAAGATCTATCAGAAGGAGAAGCGACCAAACACCCTCATTTACATATGAGAGGCTGAATCTCCCAACATAGAGATATTTAGGAAAATCCTAAGTGTGACTCGCATTATCTATCTCTAGTGGCATTATTGTTATTATCATTATTATTATTATTGGAAGAGTTCTCAATAATGATTAAGTATGCTTATGTACATTTAATTAAGGATTTAGCAAACTTAGCTACAAAACAATTTATTGACTTAGTTATATTGCAAAAAACACTACATTAAAACAGAACTGCACATGTATTTATTATTTTATTTACATGTACTTTTTTAAGTAATTTAATTAGATATTTCTATATTTTTAAGGAAAATTATAATTTTTACTTTTTAAAAAATATCTATGTTTACCCAGCCGATGTGGTTCAGTGAGTTGAGGAGTTGAGCAACGTCCCATGGATGTTTGATTCCCGGTCAGGGCACATGCCTGGGTTGCAGGCTTGATCCCCAGTAGGGGGCATGCAGGAGGCAGCTGATTGCAGTTTCTCACATTGATCTTTCTCTCTCTCCCTTCCTAGCTCTCTCTAAAAAAAAAAAAAAAAGTAAAATAAAATAAAAATAAAAAATATCTACTTTTGTATCTTCATATGTATCCCATGTAGTAATTTAAATGATACACCATTCCACTTGGAAATAGTTACTTAGCTCTATAATTTTCTTTACGTAAATAAATTGCCCAAGTAGGGCATAATGTCAGTAAAGATGTTTATTGGAATGCATTCATACAAAGTGGAAAAATGTAATGAGCTTCATAAATCATAGTTACTCTTCAGCAAGGTAGACTGCGATTCTTGTGCCATTCCTTTTCGGACACTTCATATATGTGCTGAAGAAAGTTACTAGTCATTCTCTAGTGTTAACACAGTTATCCCTTACAATCAAACCATGAACCATCATTATCCCCATTTTTCAGATAAACAAACTGAGGCAAAATAAAGTTGGATACTAGGTCTTATCAGTGCCAGGATTTAAACCTAGGTAATCTAGGGCAAAAGCCTCTGCTTTTTTATTTTGTTATATGAACAATAATAGGGGAAAGATTTTCTTTATTACCCCAAATATGGCAAAAGTAACTGGATATTGTAATTAGCCTATAATTTCTAATGTCAGAATGAATGATACAGGTTACTCCCACAACTCTCCTGTTATAGTAGAGAGAATGAGACTACAGACCAGCCAAAGGAAACTGTGGTTGTCTAATGCCCCAATCCCCAAAGAGCAAAGACCACCTCTGGTTCTGCAATTTTTCAGACAATTGGAGTTCCCTTCTTTCAAACAGAATTTTGAAAACAGTTGGTAACACTAAATATTGATTGGTTATTTTATTAGAGAATAAAACAAATGCAAAAGGTACCACTTTATTTCTGTTACTAGGTATTCTAAAGTTGGTCCGACTGAAATGAAATAAACTACAGTGAGGTCAAGATCAAAGGAAGAAGCCATTCTCAAGTATGGCAAATCTTGAAACAATAATGGAAGGGTAAAGTATTTCAGAATTTTACTTCCAAATCCTGAAACACTATGAGGTTCAGTCTAAAGAGCAAAGCTCAGCTGGCTTCTTCAGGTTTGCCATTAACTGGCTTGTGTGACCTTTGGAAACTCAATGAGCATTAAAAATATACAGCCCAGCTGTTGGTCTAGGTCAGTTTCCCTTTCTCCTACACATGTGACAGAAATCCGTAGTGACAAAGCATAGAGATAGCAAATTTGGACATAATCCCCAAAGACCGCTTCATTTGGTTAATTTAATTGGACGTTCAACACATAAAAATTATTGCTACTTTAAAAAAGTGTTCGGGGTGGTGAAGGCCATACAATGACTATCCACTCAGCTAAAGGTAAAGGTATTAATGAGGGAGCAGACAAGACCTAGGTGGAAACTGTTTTCCTTTACATGTCTGGAAGGTGCAAAATAGATGTTTAAATTGGATACAGGAAGCCAGGAGGGGTCAAGATAATGACAGGCAAAGGGAGTTTAGGGCAGCTGTGTTTGTAAAAAACTAAGCTACTTTTTCCTTTGAAAATGTCAAAGGACTTCAAGAAAACATGACACGGTTTCCGGAGCGTTGCTCCCTATGTTTCTAAGTTACAGGGTATAGAGAAGGATTCTTTGGTCTTAACTAATCTAATGTGTGAGATTTTTTCAACAGCAGACTTGGAATTTCAACCTAGGTTTTAAAGAAAGTTTGCAATGCAAATTCTTTGTAAAAATCAAACATTGTGACACAGAGTCACTTTGAGGCTGGGTTCCTGCAGGAGAGCTGATTGACAGGGATGCATGATTAGCAGAGCACTATGGGCCGCAGAAGTGAGGGAGGGGGCTTTGCCCCTTTGTTGAGAGCCAATACGTGGGGTGCAGTTATCATACCTAATTGAGAGCTGGTAAAATGGAAACACACTAAGGCCAAATTGACCATTGTCTAATGTAAATATAGAGTTGGGACCCCAGTTATATCTGACATTGTGTCCGTTAGCCCCACCACAAGTTTCGAGGAACAGAAGGCTTGAGCTTTGTTGCTTCATGACATCTCTGTCTTCCATCTCCTCTCCACACCCCAAATGCATCTCTTAATTCTTTTGAAGTAAGGAGCATCCTGACACAAGCTGTGTTCACACTGCTCACAAATAAAGCTCACAGGAAGGGAAGGCAGTTTTAGGGAATAAGCCAGGAAAGAGAGGTCCCAATCTTTAAGACAGACAAGTCCAACCAGACCACTGGGATGCCACCACGGATTAGAATGCAGCATTTTTATTGTAAAAGTCCACATATTAGGCAATTCCCTTTGCGAAAAGGTTTTCAAATACATAGACAGGGAGCAGCTGATAATTAAGAATTAGATTATATATAATATATATTCATTTTGCCAGTACTATGCACACATTGGAAAGCTAGCTTTTCTGCGTATCCCCATTATGGAATGCGTTTCAAGTTGACAATAATAAAACGTTTCTCACATTGAAAATTTGCCAACAACTCTCCCAAAGTGTCAACATTAAATATGTTAACGATTCAGAACAATTCTATTTACATGTGCTTGAGATTATATACTAGAGCACTGATATAGTCAAAGTTTGTAAAATTGGCAGCTAACTGTGTTTCAAGATTCATCCAGATGACTTGATGATGACTTTACATGGATTTATATTAACAAAGTCACTGTCTCTTTTTTTCTACTTTTTTTTTTTTTTTTTTAGATTATCTATAAAATTTTACTGGCTGCGATTGAATTCTGACTGAGAGCAACGATTGCCATAAAAAGAACCGACAAAGGATGCTAATTTAGAAAAATAAAAGATTCGGCATCAGTACACAAAGATGAAGCTCTACTCTTGATGTTTTGTCATCGGGAACAAGATTTTCATGGGATTACAATCTGTTGGAATGAGGCCTCAAGCATAGGCGCAACCTTCTTGTGAGTCATCCATTTGTTATCTCGTTTTTTAAATGTAATCTTCAGTACATATTTATAATTTTTTTTCACAGAGTATAGAATACTATATTCTGAACACGGGTCAGGTATGAATGTGGCTTATGCCTGACCATGTATCCTCAAGCACAGTTGTGGATGGGTCAAGGCTGACGCATCCCCAAACATGGAGAAATAATACACAAACTCTATTCCCGAGTGGACTGATTTTTAAAACAGAAATATAGGACATATATATTGTCTTAAAGGAGTATGGTATTGGCTAAACTAAAATTTTGAGAATGACTATGAATAGCCTTAGTTCTTGGGATCCTTCTGTTTATCCCTACAAGATCAAATATCTCTTGACAGTGCCGATGTGAACAGAGGATTTACTGGTTCCAGGCCAGCACAGAGAGGTTCGCTGGAAGCACAGGGCACCAGTTCACTCCAAAGCATACTTATTGAGCATCAGCTGTGTGCCAGGCACTATGCAAGGTGCTGAGGACCCAAAGAGGATACTGCCCATGAGGCACTCACAATCACTAGAAGCAGATCTTGAGATGGAGAATGAGTTCTGTTCAGATCTATAGTCCTAAAAGGAAGAAAAAAAAATAGCAGCAAGCACATACAATCACTTTACACTTTGGGCATATTTAGAGATGGCAAGTGCCAAATAGTCAGTCTATATTTTACTTCCAGTGTTTTAATATGTCCTACAAGGAAAACATAAGCTGTTTCCATCTATATGCATGAGGGGGAAAGGTAGTGAAAGATTTCCCCTCCAATTCCAATCCCAAATTCTTATAATTACATTCATGATTCTTTTATAGCCCAAAGACACAAAGAATAAAAAACAATACTTTATGATGTTAACTTCAATCCATTTATTTTGGCTCTAAAGAGATGCATGCATTAAACCTGAAGCATTCTATGTTATTGAAGTATTTACATCATTGTACATGCGGTGTAGAGGAAATTTCCTTTCTATCTTGGGATAGCGGTGTAATAGATTTCTTGTCTAGGTTCTTATATTTAAAATGAGTTGTGATTTGTCTCAAATGAGGGAGATATTCTATTGGGATCAATTTACCACAAGTTGACCCCAAATGAACTAAGGGAACAGTTTGGGGTGTTTGGCATCTAATTGTATTTTGAATTGAATAAGAACACCACCACTGTCAGTAATCATCGCTTTTACTCTTTCAGTTCTGTAGCGGGAAATATCTTGTTTGGATTCACTGTTCTTGCTCTGACTTCTCTTTGCCCTGCAGGGTTGCAACACAGAAACACGATGGTTTAAATTACACGCACCGAAGGAGAGTTGGGCGCAAACAATATGACATGAATACGATTAACCAGGTTAGAACATAGAAATGAATTCAGGTCGTTATAAACCACACAGAGAATGATTTCAGTGGACTTACAAAGGACATCCTCTCTCCATGAGATTTAGGGAACAAGACCCCTATCAATAAAACGCACACCTCTTCACAGGTACAGGTAGGAGACCCAGTAGACCAGATTGAACAGGCAGAAGGCGGTGGGGAAGAAGATGCGCGCGTAGGAGTCCATTTTGGCGATGCGGATGTGTATCCGCCCGTGTCTCCAGGCTCCCGTTCGGCAGTCTTCAAAACAGCAGAAAAAGCTGGCACAGTCCTTGCCGTCGAGACACTCGTACCCGTATTCTTCATCCCGCTCTTGAAGGTGCGTGGCATTGTTCATTTGAATGGTTGCTGACCTTGGCCGAATATCAATCGTAGGGGCCTGAGACAGGGGTGGGGACAGAAGGGACCAGAGTTCATTATACTTCGCACATCCTAGGCTGTCTCTCCACAATGTTACCAATGGGGATGATGAATCTGGAAAATGAGCACTCAGGAAATCGCTATGACATCGTGATCTACAATGGCGAGGGCACTAAGAGGGAGGGCAGGTTTGCAGATTTTGAATTTTGCGCTTAAGCAGTGCAGCTGAAAAGAATACCACCAAGCTAATAGCTAGCGCAAGAAGATTAAACACCAAAAGAACTGAAAGTTTAAAATTGTAAATCAAACATCTACATGGAATCTCGTTCTAGGAAGTATTAGATGTGAGGCGGGTTACATGAAGGCATTTAATGGTTTTGCATGTGAGTAGAGCAAAGAAATAAAAATGCATCAGTTGTGAAATCAAATGTTGTGTCATGCTGACCTATGGGCAAATAGTAAATCCCATTATACTGAGCACATGTATTAAATGCTTAAAAAATATGTATAAATATAGAAGTTTCCTGAGTTTATACCACAACAGTATGGCTTTTGTTTTAAAGGGATATGGTACTCGGTGTAATATTCACCATCTAGAAGCTTCAGAATGTCAGTAATGTTTACCTGCTTGTGAGTGAAAATTCAGAAAAAAAAAAAATGAAACATTGCTTAGCATTTGAGAAGAAAATAATACCAATGAACTGAATGCTATTCTAATTTCTGCTTCAGGATGAATTATAAAATTGTCATAAGACTCAGTGATCTACTTAATGTTAATTTGGATGAGGTAGTTTTAGGATAATATAAATACAAATCCCAGTGTCTCTGAATCAGCTGTCAGAATTCAACTGGGAATAGAAATCTTGTAATATTGCATGACAATGCCAAGGCTCCTGGATCACCCTAGAAGGAGGGGACCAGTGGTTTAACTAAAGCATTTTAAAGAGAGTATTCTTTTTACTCTGACACGTGAAGCTTAGACCAATGGAGATTATTAAATTTACTTATCGATAAGCAATCCTGGTTTGCATTAGGATTTACAGAATTAAATTGTAAGGGCATGTAGGTTGTATGTGGTATGTGTAGATGCAGGCAGTGAAATTGGATTTAATTTTCAGCTGAGAAGAGAGGGTAACTTTTGGCTTTGATGACTAAAGAGACCCTCTTTACTAATGACATCTCATAGTGCTTATAGCTTTGTAGCTTCATGTATGGTCGAAACCTCTGTGAATTAGTGTGGATTTGCGGAATCAACTCTAGAAAGCTACAGAACTTTTGCATCTTAAATGTGTCATCTTCAGAAGAATGCTTAAATGTCTACTCATAAAAGAAAAAGAAAACACCATGTAAGCGTTAATACTGAAATTCAGCAGTTGCATGCAGTGAATTTCCATTCCAAAAACATTATACCTTGAAGGAAAACATCCGAAGAAGCTTTGGGTTTGTAGACAGAAAAGAGAATTGCATTTTGTTTAATTAAAAGAAGGGAAAAAAGGAAAGGAAAAAGATAAAATAAGATAAATTAAAATGCATTTGAAGACTTAGTAAGTGAAATGAACTAAAATTATGAACACAGAAGGCCATGGAACAAAGTATATGCCTAGAGTTGGAGAAAGGAATTTGGTGATTGCTAGTGAAATCTTCCATAAATGTATCCACAGTTATCTAACCACAAAAGCCAGTGTTGTTCATTTGTGAGGAATCTTTCTATTGTTTTATTTTCTAATTAGCATTAAGGAGGTCTGACGAGGTGAATCCTGACGTAATGAACCAAAGGACATATTCAATGGGGAATTGAAACTTCAGTCTCTCATTCACACCGTAGGTTCTTGCCTGCTCTGATCAAACATCGAATTGACTTAAAAGGGGGAAATGCATGAAACTCTCAGGAAACTTTATTTTCTCCATTTCTTTAATCCTCTTTCTCTTCTGCTTTCTTTCCTTCTTCTGTCTTCTTCATGAGGCTGGATTAAGGAATCCACCTGTTTCTGTTTCTGGAACAAAATGCACTCTGCAATGACCTAGCTATTAGAGAGGGCTAAAGGGCTTTTTCCAAAGGACTTTCTTTCTTTCTTTCTTTCTTTCTTTCTTTCTTTCTTTCTTTCTTTCTTTCTTTCTTTCTTTCTTTCTTTCCTCCCTCCCTCCTTCCCTCCTCCCTCCCTTCCTTCCTTCCTTCCTTCCTTCCTTCCTTCCTTCCTTCCCTCCATTTTATTCTTTTTTTTTTTTTTATCCTCACCCGAGGACATTTTTCCATTCTTTTTTTTTGTTCAGGTAGAGTGGGAGGGAGAGAGAGGAACAGAGAGAGAGAGAGAGAAACATCGATGTGAAAGGAACACATCGAGTGGCTGCCACCCGCACAACCGACCAGGGCCGGGGACAAACGTGCCCTTAGCTTGAACCGAACCCGGGTCTCTCAGGAACGCAGGCCGACGCTCTAACCGCTGAGCCAAACCGGCCAGGGCTCCTTTTTATTCTTGAAAGTATTACAGATATCCCCCTTTTTTCCCCATTGACCCCCTCCTTGCCGCTCCCACCCCCTTCCTGCTTTCCCAAACCTAGTGTTTATGTCCATTGGTTGTGCATATATGCGTGTAAGTTCTTCGGTTGATCTCTTCCCACCCCACTTGCCTCTGAGGTTTGTCAGTCTGTTCCCTACTTCCGTGACTCTGGATCTCTTGTGGTTGACAGCTTAGTTTATGCATTATGCTCCACAAATAAGTGAGATAATGTGGTACTCGTCCTTGGTTCATTTTACTTAGCAGAATACTCTCTAAGTCCCTCCATGTCGTCTCAAAGGGTAATAGAGCTCTCTTTCTTACAGCTGCCTAGGACTCCACTGTGTACATGTACTAAAGGACTCTTAACAAACAAACAAACAAAGACAAGGGAAGGAAGACCGAGGACTCTTCAGACGTGTATGGAAGCCAGTCCTCTGCCGTCCTTGTTACTGCTGGCGGTAATAATGCCGAGTATCAACAGAACCATCCTCTTGGCGGGAAATGAATGGAAAGTGGAGGAGAGGGAGAAAATAAAACCCAGCACAACAAGGAAACTGAAATAAGGATAGAGAAAATATGAAGGCCAAGAGAGGCCGAACAGACAGGGAAGGAAAGGACTTCATAAAGCATAGTGAGCATTTGGGAAATTAGAGATAAACACATTTTTTTCAATCTTTCCCCCAAAATGACACTTCTTTCTTTACCTGTTATAAATTCTTATACTCAGACATATATCATTTAGAGCATTTTCTTGGTGTCCTTGGAGATGCATCAGGATGCAACCAAGAATCAGGCAGATTTCCTCATTATAATTTGGGCCCTAGACTCCATGGGTCAGACAGCTAGCCACTATCATAACCCTCAGACCCTTAGAGCAGAGCACCAGGAAAGGCTATAAATTGGGTGACTGTTTTTGCCACTGTCTTGGAAGGGAATGGACTTTAACTTTTATGGGGCCTCTTATGAGTCAGACATTGTATATAGGGGGATAAATGTATATATAGCTAAGTGCTCTCTTTAACATTAATAATAAAAGATAGTGGCTTGAGGCATTCAGATTTGTGCTTCATCATCTCTAAAGTTTGGTGGCAAGATGAAGTCATTCTCCCTATTTCCAAACCACTGAATTCAATCCAGGTTGGTACCTATATTAACATTAACCATGATCATCAACTAGTAAGATAAGAATGTTCATGTGTGAGGTACTATGTAATGCTTTTTGCCTCTCTTACTACATTTAGCTCTCACAGGAGCCCCATGACATATGCATTTTTTATAATATTCATTTTATATATGAAAAAAGAAAAGCATAGGGAAGCTAAATAACTTGCCCACACATTAGATGTGACATTTCTTTTAAAATAAAAGGTCCACTGGGTATGAAACCAATAGAAATCTTTCTGGTGGAAATACACACACACACACACACACACACACACACACTAAACTAGTTGCAAAATTGTAGTGATCCTTAAAATTTCAAGAAGTTTTTGGCTTCTAAGAAAGCTTTGAATAAAAAATTAATTTAAAACATCAATTATTTAAAAATATTACAGTAAAGGGGCAGAAAGATGAAAATCAATGAAATCTAGAATAAGAGCAGCTAGAAAATAGATGCATTTCTCAGCAATGGTTATACTCCCCATGAAATGAAGAAAGCAAGAGTCTGCCTTAGTGAATCAGGTCTCTCTCAACTAATGACAAAAATGAATCCTTATGTCCTGGTCAGACTCACATGTTCACTTTTCATCTTGGAGCCCAAAGTGTTGAGGCTGAACCTGCAGACAGGCTAAGCAAGACAAAACCAAAACAAAAGCAGGTGGTCTTTCTGCATAAAAATGTCAGTGGTCCCAGTGGGAAATCATACATACAGGGTTCTTCTTCTTTTTGTCTTTGTCCTTGCTTGGTTTCCGATTGCTGACAAAATAATGTAAGGTGCCATACTCCACCAAAGCAGAGAAGACAAATATGAAGCAAACAGATACAAAGAGATCCATTGCTGTGACATAGGAGACCTTGGGGAGTGACTTCCGGGCAATGGTGCTGAGGGTTGTCATGGTCAGGACAGTCGTGATACCTGAAGAGAGGCATAGTAAAACCAATCACATGACCACACCAGCAAGTTTGGGTGACTCAGTCACTACTGAGTCTAAACCTGTTTTGTGACTCCTGATAAGCAACCTCAGTCATGGAAAAGGAAGTATAATTGAAATCATTCACTGTGTGACTGAATACTATGAAATATTCACAAATATTTATGGCCTCTTAAATGTCCTTTAACCTCGCAGGGCCTCTGCTGCTTTAACTCTAAAAAAACTGTGATAAGTTTTTAAATCATTGCAACCTCTATATGTTGTAGCTGTGAAGAATAGAAAAGGCACAGGGACCATGTTGAACATGCCCGACTTGTATTCAATGATCAACAAACAGGAGCATGTATCTGCTCTTTGCTCAGGACTCTCTCTCGCTCTCATTCCTCAGCTCACTCACCTTGATCCCTTCTCCCACATGGTCTTTTGCCACTGAGCACTCATTCGATGAGTGGTTAAAATTAGCTACCAGAGTGGCCATAAGGGGGATTTTGACAAGCAGAAGTCTGGACTTCAAGAGAAAAAATTGATTGGAAATCTTTTCCTTGAAATATTCATGGGATGGATAAATTGGAATGTATCCATCAAATTGTTCCATTTATTCATAAGTGTACATGCATCACTCAAATAATCATTGAGCTACCAGCTATGTGCCAGGCATTATACTGGTAATAAAAAAAAAAGATATTTACATGCTGATGTGAGAGACAGACATAGCATGTTAACCAACACATTCTACTCACAGTGACAATTAATTGTCCTAAAGTAATAGGCTTAACATAGTTTGGGTTTGTTTCAGCATGTAGCATTAGACACTATAATTGTTGAATAGGACTTGTAACATAAAGTACCACACATAACAGAACAAATCAAAATAACTATTTTGAAACAGATGGGAGACTAAATTAGATTTGGAAGAGGACAAATATGCAAATTATATCTTTTAAAATTGTTTTCCCTAGTAATCTCTCTGCCCCCAGGTTTAGTAGCCTGGTATAGATCATTTTGTCAGAAAATGACTGTAGTTGCTAACATTTCTAGGCCTTTACTATGGTCTGTGCTCTTGCTTGGAACACCTATTTAACCTAATGAAACCCTACTCGTTAGATAAGGGAAATGATACATGTTTTACATGGAGGAAACTGTGATTTCTAGAGAGGAAAGGGTATTTCCAAGGCCATACTGTAAATAATCCTGGGTTGAAGTTCAGATTTGTTGGACTTCAAAACCCCAGCTCTTTCCTATCGCGTGATACTATCTCTCTAGAAAAGACCGAGCACAGGATGTGGTTCTAATGTTCACAGAGCTGATTGAAAGGGTTTATGGTTTAATAATTCGTCTTTCAATAGCTTTATTCTTAGTTAAGTGTTTAGGGAGTTTTATGTAGAACAAAAGTTTTATTCATGGACCTAGACGCCAATGTGACTGTGAGTTTGTGGCTTTCTTATACTCTCTGTGCGTCTCCTTCCTCACGTGAGAAAAAAGATAGGAAGATCTGAGACAAATGTCAACATGATACAGTAGATGGAGCAAACTGTAGATGATCTTGAAAGTGGAAAGATGGGCCCAGCCTGTGTGGCTCCGTGGACTGAGTGTTGTCCCATGGACTGGGAGGTCCTGGTTCCATTCCCAGTCAGGGCACATGCCCGGGGCTCAATCTCCAGTAGGGGGCATACAGGAGGCAGCCAATCAATGTTTCTCTCTCTCTTTCCCTTCCTCTCTTTCTAAAAAAAAAAAAAAATTAGGAAAAAACATATTTGAAAATAAGTGGGGAGATGGGTTCTCAAAATTTCACAGGTAATTGTGTTTTCCCAAAACTAATCTTTTCAGTGGCTTTTCTGTAAGTAGCTAACTAATAAATATTTTTTGTCTTCTAATATCAGCATGATGGCACACATTGGAATTAATCAACAGCCAGTGGTGTTCTGATAAAAGTGGAGCAAATGACTAGCAAAGATGAACACCACGATGTTTATTGTTTGCCCATTCCTGTGGTGTTAACACTTTCCCCTTGGCTGATGTCAAGCTGTCACTGGACATGCTGTTGGGGAAGGACAAATGATCAGCTCTGGTGAGCTAGTGTGAGCAGCTCCAGCAAACAGAACTGCCCAGAGACCAAAACAAAAATATCTATTGAAATTAGGTTTTTTGTTTTTGTTTTTTTGTTTTGTTTTTTTAACTAAGATAATTTACTAAAAAAAAAAGCCTATTAAGTTTGTTAAGGAAAAGAGAATTAGGAAACTTTAAACACTGTTTTTACTTTTTAATATGCTAGTTTTCTTTAGAACAAAACAAATAACATTTCTATGTAATGGCTGGCTGAATTAAAAGCAAATCGATATAGAAAAGGAAATAAAGATCACTTGCATTGGGTGCTTATCTTGGGTAAGTTCCACAACACAAAGAACTGTGTCTTACCTAAAGAAGTTCTGGCTGGCACAGCATCCTTATTGATCCAGAAAGACACCCAGGATAGAACAACAATGAGTGTGCAGGGGATGTAGGTCTGGATAGTGAAGTAGCCCATTCTTCTGCTCAGGTCAAAATAGACACACATGACCACGTAATCTCCTGGAACAGAGCAAGAAGGATAGCACCATGCAACCCCTTATCAAAAACTGGAAAGCATTGGAAAATAAAGTTATATTCAACTGTCTCACCTTTAAACTGAGAGTTCTATACAGAGTACATGGAAAACCACCTTCTACCCATTTGGGTTAAAATGAAAAACAAAAACAAGCAGCAAAAAGCAAAGTCCAAATGAAACTGAAGTGAGATCCTTTCAGAAGCAATGTTACTACTAGATAGAAGGAAACATTTTTGAGCAGACTGATCATATATTTTTTCCCAGGTGATTTTTGATGGTGTCTTTTTTGCCTACTTAATACACATCATATATTTTTCTTTGTTTGGTGGGGAGGGAACAGTGTTTGTACACCGTGCCTCATTGCCTAAAACGAATTCTAAGACTTGTAACAATTACCTCTTGTTCTTAGGACCTGTCTCCATACAAAACAGAGAGTAATATGCTGGAGCGCAACACTAGTAAATGACTAGTTCACTCATTTTATAATGACATTTCTACGCTGAGACATTTTTCTCATGTTTTCATTGGATCATACGGTTTTCCTTCAGAGCAGTGACTTCAGTTCTTAACTTCTCATTTATTTGTGTGGTTATTTTTGTAATGCTTGCTCTCCCTTATTAGACTTTATCTGCATGAGTCCATCAACTGCCTATTTTAGCCTGTCATTACACTACTAGTAATTAGCGTCGTGCTTGATTCTAAATAGGCCTTTCGTAACATTTGTTGAATAAATAATCAAATAACTAAATACACTTAAAAATTTAAACATAAAGGGGGGAAAAAAGAAATCAAGAGGCTGTATTTTGGAACACGAGGGTTAAAAAAAGGAGTTTATGTCAATAATCCAGAGGCGAGTCATAAAGGTATCAAGGGTTAACCAAATAGCAGCTAAGCGTAAGAACAATTGAATGGGACAATTTGAAGTCTCTGATTTTTTACCATCAGGATTCATGCCTTGCTTTTAAAAGTCCATGTCCTTCATGTTGTAGGGTTCCAAGTGAAATTTTAGGGAATTTTGATTTTTGAATTTAGAAAATGCACTATGGAGATATATCCCAGCTATTATAGATTTATGTTTTCTTTATACTCTTAGAGAACATCAATTTCAAAGACTATCTCTGCTCTTGCAATGGGAGGTGAAAGACCAGTTTTCAAATATTGCTTCTTTTTTCTTGACTAAATTATAATTTGTCCTAAAACACATGAAGAATGAAATCCAATTATGTGTTTTATTTTAATTATTTGGCTTCATGCCCATGTTTCTCTGCTTACTTGGCTGATTTAGATCTGATTTGAAATTAAGGTACTTTGGAAGCCTCATGCAGAGCAGACTGACTTAGCAGGATGAGATATTACCGCTCCGCCCAGTTCTCCCTCCCACTCTGGGCTGAACTCCGCACCCTTCCGACTTCCGAGAGAGAAAGCCCTCCTTGGCTCCCTTTCAAGGAAGTAGAGATTCTTTCCTGGTGTTTCCTTCCTAAGTGGGGTCTGAGTAGCTCCTAACACTGGCTTTGGTGGATTAATGTACTATTACTCGTCTGAGTCATGCCTGGCAAAGGTAGTGACAATGACCTGGACACTGGGGAATTCGCCTCCCGTTGGAACCTCAGCTCCCTCTCAGAGATCAATAAGTAGCAATTATTCAGTGTTTAGCTCTCAAAAGTTGAAGGTATGAATTTCTTATTGGTGTTAACTAGATTTTGGTTAGTTCTCTGAGATTATGCTTCTCTGCATTGATTTATCTGGACTGAAACTATTTGAAGTCAAGGCATTTTATAAATAACGTGTGCTTTAATTTATAATATAATATACCACAGGCTATCACTGAGGATTAAAGACATTTCATTTGAGATGATCCCTACTCATGCTATCTTTTTCTTTATTTTTTTTCTTTTTCTCTGATCTGAATACCAGAGGCAAATGCAAGTAAGGGGGAAGAAAAAAAGAAAAAGAAAAAAGAAAGAGGCTTTCTTTTAAAATAATAATATTCAGGGTTACTTTTTCTCCCTATTTTCCAAGTCTTTGAGAGCTTTCTGCATATTTTATATGTGTTAAATGACACTTTACAAGTTATAATATTTTAAAGACATCTGGACCATTTTAGTAACTTCCTTTTACTCCTTATCATGTCAATGAATGAGAATCTATACTTTGGCCTTAATGATCTTACTCTTTTGAAGGTGAACTTCAATTTTTCCTCAAGTAACAAGATAATTATCTCGATTAAATTCTCCTCTTCCCATTAGGTCAGATTCTAACTTTTAATCTATTGATTTCTATTTTAAGATAATAGCTTCTGAGTATCTTTCATCTCCATCCGCAAATCCAACGCCTCTCGACCACCAAGTACAGATTCTAACTTGGGAACAGGCCATTTAAAAGGACAGCAGCCTCACAGTCATAGCCTGATGCCCGTCTTATCATTGAGGCTTTATCACTTTTTGTATTTTTAAAAACGCTTGGGCCTAGGAGCCTATGAGATCAAATCCCCTGAAGGAGCCTATGAAATCAAATGTCACATCAGTGATGCCTCAAGCCCAAAGGGTCCAGTGTCAACCCAGTCAAAGGTGGTTGTTTCAGCCACTTCAAATGTATTCTTTCTATTGACTTGTTCTGATATAAATTTGTAAAGTCAGAGCATTGTGTAATTAGTGTGTTCCTGCTTTTGTCCCAATAGAACATAACGGGCTGTGATTGAGGAGAGAAGACATAGAATTTGAATAACACCCATTAATGTTCATTCTTTGTTTTTTTGTCGGCTTCTTATGTCTAGTTTCAGGAAGGGACTGTCAACATCAGTGAACAATGAACTCCAACTATTATTGCTTTATTTTGCTGTTAACCATATGAAACTTTAAAATGCAGATATTAGAGCATTTAGGCTCCCTTTCATGTGTAAAACGATCTCCTCTTAAAAACATGGTGATTCCATGATAGAGAAGTCGGCCCTTCCCTGCACACCTAAAATCAGAAAAATAATAATTTTCTAGTTACCAGTAACATGATCCTAATATGTGCAGACACTGGGCGATATGGTTTGCATATATTATCTCTAAACATCCTAATCACTTTGTCAGAATGATAAAAAAAAAAAAAAATGAAGACTTCACTTTGTTCCTCTCTCATGATTCTTCCTCTACTTAAATGGAATGAATAGAGTATATACTATTCTACTAGGTTAACTTTGAAGGCATACTTATTGTTACACTCTTCTTTACAATCCTTTCTATAGTCTCATCTTATTTAAGTCAACAAATATTTCTAATCTCTGCTCTGCATAGAGCATTATATTAGCTAATGTGGAGGTTAAGACCTAAGGAATTTCATAACGAATTATAAATGAAATGGATTGGAAAGAAAATTATTTTCTTTCTGACTGCAACTCAGACAGAAGGAGAGAAAGGCTGAGACAATGTATTGTATCTATATTTAGCATTCCTTATTTAACTGTTGAAGCTGAGGCATCGTTCCTTGAGGTGCATTTTGACCACAGGCGAGCAGGATAGTTGATTGGTTGTATTTTCATTTGGGGAAATTGTTTTCTGAAATTAGATCTAAACCTCACTTAATGCACAAAAGTAAAATTAAGATGGACCAAAGACCCAAATTTAATATTTTTAATGTGATTTTGTTGGTTTTAGAGAGAGAGGAAGGGAGAGGGAGAGACAGATGGAAACATTGATGAGAGAGAAGCATCAATTGTCAGCCTCCCGCACGCCCCCTACTGGAGATCGAGCCTGCAACTCAGGGCAGCCCTGGCATGTGCCCTGACCAGAAATTGAACTGGGACCTCTCAGTCCATGGGACGTTGCTCAATCCACTAGAAACCCACATTTTTAAGTAGGCCAAACTGTATGGACAATTCATGGATGCTAAATATATGAAGAGTCTGAGCTTCAATAGTGATCAATAAAGTAAAATATCAGTATTTCATGTTTAGCCTGTCAGATTGGGGAAAGAGTAAACTGGTAATGTGCAGGACTGACAAGATGTGGACCAAGAGCTGAGCCACACGTTCTCGGTAGGGGTATGCACTAGGGTAAACTTTTTAGATGGAAATCTGAAACTGTATTTATTATATATATATATGTATGTTACTCCTGGATATCTGGAATAAACACTGCAGAAAAAAATGTTCTCTAAAGTATTGCCTTTCGATGGGCACCGAGGTTTTTTCAAGGTTTACTATGTGCAAAAAGAAAAGCAGAACACGAAGTCCTTGGGCAGAATCCGGTCCCTGAGCTGAAGGAGTCCAGAGCGTTGCGGGGGAGAAAACTTGCCTATTTCATCAGCTTCTAACTTCTCTGCACGCCACCCCCAGTGTTCCATCACCTGCCCACCATTCGTAGTGGCGGCTTAGGCTCCTATAAATGACTTGGAAATTCCCTTCAACATTCTTCCAACAACTAGGCCCTGGGAGGTCAGGAGAGGGGAAAACATATACCGACACTGTAAGCTTTGCCATCACGGAGTCCCCGGGTGAAGAAGGACATGTAAATGTGACGTCAGCAGTCAATGGCACAAAGGCCCTAAGGAAGCATACATGGGCGACATTATCTTGCATCTGACGAGTAGATGAAGTTTCTGGCAAGTGCATTTCTGGAAGTTCTCATTAAATCATGGCAATGTCCACAGACATTACAGAGACCCTCGCTCCTCTACAACTAAAGTGCAAACGTGTTCGCCTGGCAGGCAAGGCTGTCCAAAATCTGAATTTACGCTAATCCCTTCTTTCTCGTGACTCCATGTAAAAGTTTATGTCCTCGATCGATCAAGTGGCATTGTATGTGCTCAATACCCACATGTGTCTAGTGACTCCTGTATTGTGGTAGTACTGATTATAGAACAGTTATGTCCCTGTGGCCAGTTCTGGTCTCAATTCATCGTTCTAGAATAGCTTTCTGTTCATTCCCTTCAAGTTCCTCAGGATAAATTACTCACGGCTTAACCTATGAATCTACTCCTTTTTGCCCTGATCCATACT